TGTAAGTGTCCAAAATGATGTAAATTTGATGTAAATGATTTCCATCAAATTTCCATCATTTTGAACACTTACAACATATTTCCATCAATTTTACAACCTTTGTGGTGCGCGATTTTTTTCAGTGATTATTTACGTTTTATAAGCCGTGCGAGCGCGCGGTCTCGATAAAAAAAAATCAAGACCGCTGTCAGGAAGTACACACTGAGTGCACCAAGGTCCGGTTTTTATCTATTCCAAGCAAACTCGGTTAATAAGAGTTATATTATATGAGTGTTTTGTTTTCGATTGTTGGCATTGAATATACAGCTATTTTAAAAAACTTGTCGAGGAGAACAGCGAATGGCGATTGTTGAAAGGAGATTGCACGACCGAAAGGGACTATGGTAAAAGTGTTTTGATAAACAAAATTTCACTTATTGGAATCACCTTCTATAGAAATGATTTAGTGGATCCAATGTTTACCACAGACCATCTTAAAGCACAAATCAGTTGTTATAAATTGCCTTTCAAATAGCAAAACCCATGCCATGGCTACTTTCGGCCGTGCAATCGCCGTTTGACCATTGACAATCGCCATTTTATCCGACAACCTTTTTTGAAATAGCTATATATTTGTCAAACAGTTAATTAAAACCTCCTATGTTTTCTACGGACTAGCCTGTTTGAAATTTTATCTGAGTAATAACTGAATCTGTTTTTTTCCATGATTTTTGCCACTAGAAATACGGTCAAGGTGAAAGTTCCAGGCTCCAATATACACATTCATACAATAATTTAGAACCATAAAACGACCGCTTGTGTCTCTACCCTCTGATATAAACACGGTCAGAAGTACATAACCAGAAGTGTTCATCTACCCAATAATCGCCACCATCAGATGTCCCGATAATCTATTTTTAGACAACCAATCACAACGCGCGCACATATTACACGGCACCTGATTGGTCCTTGTTGATCTACTTCAAGAGAGAACAAGAAAAAGGAAAATGTAGTCAATGTTTGCATTACAAGAATTTTACAGCTTTTGCTGAACAACCATTTATGAATTTGGTAGAAAACATTCTTAAAGTTTATACTATATGAGCAATGTAGCGAAGGTAGTTCAAGAGCAATATGGAGTCTGTTTCAATGTTCGCAAGTTGGTGGCGTAGATGAACTGCTTTATTCAGACTAAAGTATTGAATTACAATGACGTAATAAAGCAATATTGTAACATCTCCCCTTTTATATGAGCATAAGTATATGCCTAAATATACTGCTGATTGGGTTTTAAATCAGTGGGCGTTTCTCAATTTCAAAGATTAATGTTCAATAATGTTCCTACAAGAAACTAAATCATTTCTCTAAAGAATCAATGTTCAAAGATAATATATATGATAAAAGGAATCATTTTTTTTATTGCTGAACCGTAACGTTTGTTGTTGTTATTGTTGTCTATTTAGACGAAGCGATCTGGTTTCTTGATCACTCTCTGACTTCTCCTGAGCACAGCTTCCGTAGGCTGTGGTAGTRGGTCTGGCGTTGGTTGTGATGTTTCTTTAGCCGGTTGTTCAGGCTTAGGTTGTTCAGGACTAAGGGCCTCCCTGTTCCTGCGTAACAACTCCCCATTCGTTTCAACCATGTATGAACGATCCGATAGTTTCTCTCTGCAGATAGCGGTGTCCCACGGCTTTCCTCTTTGCGTTGGCAAGACTCTCACTTCCTGACCTATGTGGAGATCTGGTAAGATCTTGGTATTCTTATCGTAGTGGCTTTTAGCTTTCTGTCTTTTCAGCTCTATTTTCGTCATCACACCGTCTTGTACTTCGGGATGTAATAGGCTAGTCGCTATTGGTACGAGGGTTTTTGTTCTTCTAGACATCAAGCGCTGTACAGGGCTAGTCTGCATTCCCTGRYTTGGTGTATTTCGATAGTCCAAGAGAGCTAACCATGGGTCTTTGTGGTCTCTAAAGGCTTTCTTAAAGYGGCTTTTGGCTGTTTTTACTGCTGATTCTGCTTTTCCATTCGCCTTTGGGTGGTAGGGAGAAGAAGAAACATGTTTAAACTCCCATTCTTTGGTGAATTGGTCGAACTCGTGGCTGACGTATTGCGGGCCGTTATCAGATACCAGTACATCGGGTATTCCATGGCGGCTAAACTGAACCTTTAGGAAGTTTATGATAGACTTTGAGGTAGTATCCTTGAGTGGACTGACTTCTATGTAGTCGGAGTAGTAGTCAACGAGTACTATYTAGTCTTTAGACTGGAGATTAAAAAGATCGGTAGCTACTCGGCTCCACGGTCTGTCTGGTATTTCGTGTGACTGCATTGGCATGCTAGGGTTGTTTCGTTTAAACTCCGAGCATATTTGACATGAGCTAACTGCAGTCTTTATGTCGTTGTTCATTGCAGGCCAGTAGACGCGATCACGTGCTTTTCTCAGGCAGGCTTCAATTCCTTGGTGGCTTGAATGTAGTCTTCCGATGACTTCTGTTCTAAGGGCTTGAGGCACGATGATGCGTTGGTTCTTGAACAACACCCCGTTTTGGACAGTCAACTCTTCTCGGAAGTTCCAGTAGTCACGGACTGGTAATGGCGCTTTGTCGCGTTCGTTGGGCCATCCAACAAGTATCGTATTCTTGAGCGATTGCATTGTAGGATCTTGCTCTGTGGCTTTTTGTAGTTGAGCTAGTCTTTCGCTGGTGATCTTCACATTGTTGAGGAGATTGATTTCCTCGAGTTCTAGCGCAAGTACTTGAAACTCGTCATCAGGTTCTCCTTGGTCTGCAAGGTATGCTCGTGATAGATGATCCGCCACGTACATTTGTGGTCCTGYCTTGTACGTCACGTTGAGGTTGTACTTTTGCAATCTAAGTAGCATCCTCTGTAGTCGTCCGGGRGCTGCTAAGATAGATTTCTTGAATATAGCCTGTAGTGGCTTGTGATCTGATTCCACTGTAATTAGTTCTCTGCATGCAATGTATTGGTTGAATTTGGTGCATGCAAACACGATGGCGAGACATTCCTTTTCTATCTGTGCATAGCGTTGTTCAACAGGTGTAAGTGTTCTGGATGCAAAAGCTACGGGCTGTCCGTTTTGAAGAAGGGTAGCGCCGAGCCCTTTCTCGCTTGCATCACATTGTATCGTCACTTCTTCCTTCAGATCGTAGTATTTGAGTACAGGGTGTGCGCTTACGAGTTGTTTCACTTCTGAGAACGCTTTGTCGTGCTGCCTTGCCCAGATGAACTTGGCATTCTGTACTGTCAAGTCGCGTAGAGGCTTTGAGACCTCTGACAGTCGAGGAAGAAATTTGGCAAGATAGTTAACAAAGCCTAGCAGGCTAAGTGTCTCTTGCTTATTTGTAGGTTTTGGCATTTCGGTCACTGCTTTGACCTTATCTGGATCTGGTTTGAGTCCATTGGATGTTAGCACGTGTCCCATGAACTTAACTTCTTGTCTTCGCAGGTTGAGTTTCTTGCTGTTGAACTTTAGGTTTATATCTCTAGCTCTTTGTAGTAGGCGTAGTAGATTTTCATCGTGGTTTTTGTTGGCTTCCTCTAGCGTTTCGCCGTAACCGACCACTAGCATATCATCGCGGAGTACTTCCACACCTTCTAGGTCTCCCAGCTGCGCTTGTAAGGTTCTTTCGAATTCTTCGGGAGCTGAGCAGATTCCGAAGGGCATTCGTATGTACCGGTACCTTCCGAACGGGGTCCAGAA